TGGTGTTTTTTCCCCCCAGGCGCGCAGCTGGAATCGAGGCGCAGCGGGGGCTGATCAGCGTCTTAGGCTTATGTCGGGCCTGTCCCTCTACAGGAGGAATATTCAAAAATAGTTACAACATAGTCTGGGGACGATTTTTTAAACTATGTTTGACTATGTTTGAAGATGTTTCGACGGATTCTTATTTTTCGTCCAAAATCCGCCTGTAGGGGGACATGCCCAACCTAAGCTTAGGCCTCGTTCTCCCTCTCTCTATCCCTCTCCCTCTCTCTTTCTCTCTCTCTCTTTTCCTCTCTCTCTCTCTCCCTTTCTCTCTCTCTCTCTCTCTCTTTTTTGTTTTCTCTCTCTCTCTCTCTCCCTCCCCCTCTCTCTCTCTGTCTCTTTCTCCAAGGCTCCCTGCGTCAAGGCTTCGGCTCTGCGCCTCTCGCCCGCCAAGAGGTGGGGGGGGGCCTCTGCCAAGAGGGAGGAAGGAGCACTGCGGCACTGAAAAGATCGGTCCGCCCCCAGCTCCTTCCGCGTTTGGGAACGGCCAGAAAACTCAGAATCATCGGCTTCAGCCAGCTTCTTCGCCCGCCTCAACTGGCCCGCTCAACCGCCGAATCTTGGGCAACGAAAGCTGTACAGGTCCACTGCCCCCTGGACGGGCCCTTCCTGTGCCCAGGAGCCGACTGCACGGAGGGCGTGGCGCATACACCGCTGCTGGGTTCAGGCTGGGCCTGGCCATGGAGCAGTGGACATGTAGAGATCTCGTCGCTCGAGAGTCGGGCGACACAACCAGGGCAATACGGCGGGCTTGAGAGGATCAGTCCACCCACGGTCAAGATGGAACCAGCCATGATGGAACGAGCGAAACAGGACAGCAGGTAGCTGACCTGAGATATGATGAGAGGGACGCCCAGGTCCAAAAGCACTCTTGCCTTGCAACGCTTGAGCCACATGGCTTGAGCCAACACGGCGGGCTTGAGAGGATCAGCCCACCCGCGGTCATGATGGAACCGGCTACGATGGAACGAGCGAAACAAGGACAGCCGTACACAGTAGCCGAACTGAGCTGCGATGAAAGCGACGCCCAGGTCCAAAGACACTCTTGACGTTCAACGTTTTAGCCACATGGCTTGAGCCAACGCGGCGGGCTCGAGAGGATCAGTCCGCCCGCGGTCATGATGGAACCGGCCACGATGGAACAAGCGAAACAGGACAGCCGTACACAGTAGCCGAACTGAGCTGCGATGAGAGCGGCGCCCAGGTCCAAAGACGTTCTCGACTTTCAACGCTTGAGATGGCTCGAGCCAGCGCGGCGGGCTCGAGAGGATCAGTCCGCCCGCGGCCGCCACGATGAAACGAGCGAAACAGGACAGCAGTACACAGTGGCCGAATTGAGCTGTGATGGGAGTGGCGCCCAGGTCCAAAGACACTCTCGACTTTCAACGCTTGAGATGGCTTGAGCCAACATGGCGGGCTTGAGAGGACCAGTCCGCCCGAAGCCACGATGGAACCGGCAACGATGGAACGAGCGAAGCAGGGAAGCCATATACAGTAGCCGAAATCCGTTGTGATGAGAGCGACGCCCAGGTCCAAAGACGCTCTAACTATCAACGCGTGAGCCACATGGCTTGAGCCGGCGCGGTGGGCTTGAGAGGATCAGTCCGCCCGCGGCTATGTTGGAACCAGCCATGATGGGACGAGCGAAACAGGACAGCAGCGCACAGTAGCCGAAATGAGCTGCGATGTTGCGACGCCCGGGTCCAAGGACACTCTCGACATCCAACGCTTGAGCCGCGTGGCTTGAGCCAGCGCGGCGGGCTTGCGAGGATCAGTCCGCCCGCGGCCGCGATGGAACTGGCCGCGATGGAATGAGCGAAACAGGACAGCAGTGCACAGTGGACGAACTGAGCTGCGATGAAAGCGACGCCCAGGCCCAAAGGCACTCTTGACTTTCAACGCTTGAGCCGCATGGCTCGAGCCAACGCGGCGGGCTCGAGAGGATCAGCTCGCCCGCGGCCATGATGGAATTGGCCGCGATGGAAAGAGCGAAACAGGGCAGCAGCGCACAGCAGCCGACCCTGGCTGCGATGAGAGCGACGCCCAGGTCCAACAACACTCTCGACTTTCAACGCTTGAGCCACATGGCTTGAGGCAGCGCGGCGAGCTTGAGAAGATTAGCCCGCCCGCGGCCATGATGGAACCGGCCGCGATGGAACGAGCGAAACCAGACTGCAGTGAGCAGCGGCCGGACTGACCTGCGATGAGAGCGACGCCCAGGTCCAAAGACATTCACGTTTCTCAATGATTGCGCCACATGGCTCGTGCCAGAACGGCGGGCTTGAGAGGGTCAGCCCGCCCGCGGCAACGCTGGGATTGGCCGCGATGGAACGAGCGAAACAGGACAGCAGCACATAGTGGCCGAACTGAGCTGCGATGAGGGCGAGGCCCAGGTCCAAGGCGCTCTTGACTTTCAACGCTTGAGCCGCACGGCTTGAGCCAGCGCGGCGGGCTCGAGGGCATCAGTCCGCCCGCGGCCAAGATGGAACTGGCCGCGATGGAACGAGCGAAGCAAGGCAGCAGCGCGCAGCGCCCGAACTGAGACGCGATGAGGGCGACGCCCAGGTCCAGGGGCGCTCTTGACTTCCAACGCTTGAGCCGCATGGCTTGAGCCGACGCGGCGGGCTTGAGAGGAACAGAGGCCGCCCGCGGCCGAGATGGAATTGGCCGCGAGGGAACGGGCGAAACAGGACAGAAATGCGCAGTGGCTGACCTGAGCTGCGATGAGAGCGGCGCCCAGGTCCAAAGACAGACTTGACTTTCAACGCTTGAGCCACATGGCTTGAGCCAACATGGCGGGCTCGGGAGGATGAGTCCGCCCGCGGCCATGATGGAGCCGGCCGCGATGGGGCGAGCGAAACAGGACAGCAGCGCACAGTGGCCGAACCTGGCTGCGATGAGAGCGACGCCCAGGCCCAAAGACACTCTTGACTTTCAACTCTTGTGCCGCGCGGTTTGAGCCAAACGGCGGGCTTGAGAGGGCCAGTCCGCCCGCGGTCGCGATGGAAACGGCCGCGATGGAAAGAGCGAAACACGGACAGCAGCACGCAGTGACCGAATTGACTTGCGATGAGAGCGACGCCCAGGTCCAAAGACACACTGACTTTCAACGCTTGAGCCGCATGGCTGAAGCCAGCGCGGTGGGCTTGAGAGGACCAGGCCGCCCGCGGTCATGATGGAACAGGCCATGGTGGAGCGATCGAAACAAGGACAGCGCCGCACAGTGGCCAAACTGAGCTGCGATGTTGCGACTCCCTGGTCCAAAGACACTCTTGCCTTGCAACGCTTGAGCCGCATGGCTTGAGCCAGTACTGCGGGCTTGAGAGGATCAGCCCACCCGCGGTCATGGTGGAACCAGCCATGATGGAACGAGCGAAACAAGGACAGCAGCACACAGTAATCGAACTGAGATGCGATGAGAGCGACGCCCAGGTCCAAGGACGCTCTTGATTTTCAACGCTTGAGCCACATGGCTTGAGCCAGCGCGGCGGGCTTGAGAGGATCAGTCCACCCGCGGTCATGATTTAACCGGCCATGATGGAACGAGCGAAGCAGGACAGCAGCACACAGTGGCCGAACTTAGCTGCGATGTTGCGACGCCCTGGTCCAAAGACACTCGTGACTCGCAGCGCTTGAGCCAAGTGGCCTGAGCCAACACGGCGGACTTGAAGGGACCCGTCAGCCCGCGGCCCAGGCCATGGTTCGCTCGCGACCCCGCTTCTGCTGGCGGAAGTTGGTGGAAAGGTGGCGGAAGGTGGCGGAAGTAAGACATGCGCTTCCAAGAGATCATCATCGGGGGTGGACAGAACCCCCACCCTGAGACGTCGATTCGTGAATGGTCTGTTTTCGGTTCTCGAGAGGACGCCGCGGCCGTCATTTTCCAGGCTTGCGCCCGCCAGGTGTGGTCCCGAGGTCCTTTTCACTAAACCACGTTTTGCTAAAGGAGGTTTCCGTCCATCCCTGAAGATACAATTATGGGGTTCGGAGTTTCAGGAATCCGCCATGTAGAGATCTCATCGCCCGAGAATCGGGCGACACATCTCGGGCAACACGGCGGGCTTGAGGGGATCAGTCCGCCCGCGGCCATGATGGAGTTGGCCATGACGGAATAAACGAAATAGAACAGCAGTTCACGGTAGCCGAATTGAGACGTGGTGAGAGCGACGCCCAGGTCCAAAGGCATTGAATTTACCGCGCTTGAACCAAATGGTTGAGAAACCAACACGGCCGGCCTGAGACCCGACGTTGCAAAAATATGCAACGTCGTGAAAAATCACGCCCGGACTCCCGGACCCCGTATTTAGGCGCAATTTTTCGAGACGGCTCGATCCGTGAGGGTCCCGGGGCCCGACATCGAGCGAATCTCGCCCGTGGTGAAAAAATGGCAGTGCCAGGATCCCAGAGATATATCTCGTCGCCCGACAAATCGGGCAACACGACTCAGGCAGCACGGCTGGCTTGAGAGGATTCCTCTCGCTTCGCGGGGTGCACGTCCTGACCGCGGAGACTACGGGCGTTCCGGGTTTCTACGGGCATGCGCAGTCAAGTCTTTGTGGCGACTCCTGCGAGCATCCCGGCGGCGTCTTGGGCCGTCTTGGGGCGCCCTTGCGCAGACCAGATCCCCTGGCGAGCCCGCGGGCGGGCCTCGTGGGGCCTCGACGGGCCCTTCGGGCCGCGCTGGACCGTCCAGGGGCCCAACGGGCGCCCCTGTGGAGCGTAAGTTACTAGACTTGTGGACGACGAGCAGTGAAGAGGAAGCATGCTGCCAAACAGTTTCCAGATGTCTAACGGATGCTTGGTTTTAAAATGTCTTGAACATGAAAAACAGCGCGCTTCGAACATGCTTGGAACATTATCCTACATCTTGTGCACCTGTGTCATTCGCTGCCGTAGGGTTGTTAGGGTGTCCAGCGCCATGGCATCCACAGTGCTAGAGCCTGGCGACCAGAGCGCGTACTAGAGCCTCGCGGCCCAGGCAGCGGCGACACCCCGCCGCCGCCGCCCCGGCGCGGCCCGGCCACCCTGCACCGCCATGGCCGCGGGCCGCCTCGCGGCGGCCCTGCGCGCGCAGGAGGCCGCGCTGCAGTCGGAGGGCTTCGTGGTGAAGAACTGCTTCATCGACGAGAGCCCCTGCCAGCCGCCCGAGGCCCACATCTGGTTGACCCACCCTGAGATCCTGGCGTTGCAACTTTTTCGCCACGGGCGTGTCCCCTCGACTTCGGGCCCTGGGACCCTCACGGATCGATCCGGCTCGAAAAGTGACGCGGAAAGATGGGGTCTGGGTGTTTGGGCGTGATTTTTTGCGATGTTGCATTTTTTTTCAACGTCGGATCTCAGGGCACAAGGGGGTCCAACGAAAAGGGTTGGTGCAATAGATCTGTTGCAAGAGATTTGCGGGGTTGCAGTAGGTTCGGGGCGTGCAATACCTTCCGGTGCGTCTTCGGGGAGGGCTCAAAGAGCTTCTTGGAAGGCCGCGGGGCTTCCCTTCTGAGAACTTCTGAGAAGACCCGTCCTTTCTCACTTTCCCCCCTCTCTCGTCGCGGGTCATCGACGAGGACCCCTGTCAGCCGTCCGAGGCCCACAGAGAGATCGAGTCCTGGCGCTGCAATTTTTCTACCACGGGCGTTTTCGCTCGATTTCGGGCTTCCGAGTGTGAGAAGGCCCGCCCCTTCTCACTTTCCCCCCTCGCTCGCCGCCGATCATGGAGGAGGACCCCTGCCAGCCGTCCGAAGCCCATAAGCGGGCAGAGCCAGACCTCCAACATATACAGAAGCAAAGACAGCGGATGCTTTTCCCAGCTGTCGGCGTCTGCCGGCGGGCCCTCGCTGGGCGCCAGGACCGCCAACAGAGCGATCCGGGACGAAAGACGGATCCCTGGGAAGTGGTCCAGTGCTCCGGGGACCCCGTATCGAAAAATCGAAAATCGAAAAATAAAGAAAATCTATAAAAATCGAAAAGATCGAGCGGGCTTCAGCGGCCCCTGCCAGCCGTCCGAGGCCCACACAGGGGGGCAGCCATGCTTTCAGAAATCCCTGGTCGAGGGCACCGGGCCCCAATGCCCCGAAGCCGGATCCGCCGTGCTGTGGTTGAGTTTCCGATTTGGAAAAATTGCATCGGAGAGTGCATCCCGTAGGATGCCAAAAAGGTAGGTACGGTGGGCATGTTTGCCATACTGCCATGGCCTCCGACCAGTGCCGCCGATCCGGGGCGCTCGGGGTGATGATGATGATGATGATGATGATGATGCTGATGATGTTGATGCTGCTGATGATGCTGATGCTGATGCTGATGCTGATGATGATGATGATGATGATGATGATGATGATGATGATGATGATGATGATGCTGATGCTGATGCTGATGCTGATGCTGATGATGATGCTGCTGCTGATGCTGCTTGATGATGATGATGATGCTGATGCTGATGCTACTGATGCTGCTGCTGCTGCTGCTGATGCTGATGATGATGCTGATGCTGATGATGATGCTGCTGATTATGATGACGATGGTGATGATGATGATGATGATGATGATGATGATGATGATGATGATGATGATGATGATGATGATGATGATGATGATGATGATGATGATGATGATGATGATGATGATGATGATGATGATGATGATGATGATGATGATGATGATGATGATGATGATGATGATGATGATGATGATGATGATGATGATGATGATGATGATGATGATGATGATGATGATGATGATGATGATGATGATGATGATGATGATGATGATGATGATGATGATGATGATGATGATGATGGGGGGGGGCCAGCACCGAGGGCGGGCTGGCACCGGGGGGCCGGGTGCTGGCTGGCACCCGGAGGGGGGTTGCCGGCACCGGGTGCAGTTCTGGCACCTGGGGGGAGGGGGGCCAGCACAGGGGGGCGGGGGGCGGCACCGGGGAGGGGGGGGGGCCAGCACCGGGGGTGGGGTGCCGGCACCGGGGGCCGGGGGGGGCCGAGCGATACCGGCGGGGGGGCCGGCATCGGGGGGGGGACCTGGCGCCGGGTGTGGGGGCCGGCACAAGGGGGAGAGGAAGCCGGCACCAGGGGTGGTGGTGGCGGCACCACGGGGGAGTGCCAGCACTGGGCCGTTGGTGCCGGCCCCGGGGAAGGGGTCTCTGGCGTGGGGGAGGGGTATACTGGAGGGGGGAGCTTTCCCCCCCTCCCTTGCGTTCAAGAAAAAGGTCGAATATTAGCTGGAGAAAACGCCCCCCCCCCCTGGAGTGAGCTCAAGCCCACGCTCTCAGAAACTCACACGCCGGAACGGCGGATTTCTGTGGAATCGAATTTGTGAAGCAGTTCCACAAAACTGTCCGCAAAGTAGGGAGAACATCCACAAAAGTAGGAAGCGGGCTGGAGACGGCGACGGAAAAGGAGTGTGGACTTCGACATCAAAGGGGCCGGCCAACTCGGTCGTCTTCGTCACCGCCGCCATCGTCGCCGCCGGCATTGCCATGTCCGATTCCGACTCCATTGCAGCACTGGTTCCCACATCTCTCCGACTCCGGCCCCCGCAACTCCCATTCCAGATGAATATCGTCGATGCCACGTCGTGACCCTTTTCTCGGTGGCTCAAGGATGGGGTCTGCAGGGGTGGGGGCCTGCTTTGAGTTTATTTTTAAGCGTGGCGGGGTACCCCCCCGACGGGGGTCAACGTCAATTTGACCGCGCGCGGGATAATTAGGAAGGATCCAGTGGAGGCCCATACCAAGAAACACCCTGCTTGCCTCCAGGGTGCCCTGGGTTTCTTGGGTTCCGATGGCCTTGCTGTGGAAAGCGCGACGTTCCCACACCGAAAATCGATGGACGTCCTGGGGTCTCAGGGTTGGGTTTCTTTTGGAAGGCTTCTTGTGGTCAGGCCCCTACTGTAGAGCGAGCGGGTTCCGTCCTGGCGGAGCGCGCGCCCCGCGCTCACATCCAGGCAGCCCCGGCGAGGTGCGCATGGCTCACGCCTTGGGCGCCGCGCCGCGCGGGGGGCACACTTCTTGGGGGGCCGCGCGGCCACGCGCGCGGCGGCGCGGCGCACAGTCGGCCCTGGTTGTAGCAGGCCGACCCTGCCAGACCGAGGGTGCCCCTGGTGCCCCGCGTCTCGCGACCCGTGCCTGGACCCGAGGGGTCCTCGAGGGGGGGGACTTGCGCTGTTTGGGGCACCTCGTCTCATGGAGCCGCCGACTTTCTGTGCCCGCCCGCGCGGCCCTCGTGGGGCCGGCCCGCCGCACCGACCGGCGCTTCCGCTCTGCTCTCATGCCCTGCTCGGCGGCGGGCCCGGGGGGGGGGAAGCGTCATGGCGCCAACATCGCGGAGCAGATTTCGTTCGGAGAACGGTACACACATTGTTCATTCCTAATTTTTCGAAAGCTCTTTAGTTTTTGAGGGGCCGAGATCCTTTCATTTTTCTTAAGTTCTACCCTGGGCCTATTCCTGTCCCCAAGGGGGCCAGGAACAGATAGAAACGAGCACAATTAGAGATGAGCACGATTAGAAAGGAACGACGTGTAGGGTAGGCCCGGGGTGTCCTGGAGGATTGCGTTCCGGATTTCGAGGCGGATCTCGTACGTTTTTTTGGGGGGGCCAGGAATGAAAACCAAAAAATAGCCCACGCGGAATTCACTTCGTTTTCCTTTCGCCGCTTCGGGCAAAAATCCACGCAGAAATCCGATGCAAGCGCGTCTGCAAGGCCGGTGCAATGAGAAGTGAGAACGGGCGTCGGGAGCCTTGAGACGGGGGTCAATGCAAACGGGGGTCAACCTTAGGTTGGGCCTGTCCCTCTGTCTACACGAGGAACATTCATGATAAATCATAACATAGTCTGGGCACGATTTTTCCCGTATTGCTATATCTATATATATATATATGTATATATATGTGTATATATATATATATATACATGTTGTCAATGCTTGATTTTTCGTGCAGGATCCTGCAGGATCCTGCAGGATCTTGCAGGATTCTGCAGGGCCTGGCTGGCCCGGGTCTGGATTGAGGCCCGGGTCAGAAGGTCTCCGAGGGCGGGCCTATCCTCGGAGGGCTCGGAAGTCCCCCCACGGGCCTTCTGAGAGCCCTGGGATATGTCCTGGCGTGGCGAGTTGCTTCTCCGCGGGCGTGTTCCCTCGAGGTCGGGCCACGGGACCCTCACGGACCGGGCGGGCTCGAAAAAATGGCACGGAGAGAGACGGGGTCCCGGGGGTCCGGGAGTGTTTTTTTTTTTTGCGATGCTGCCATTTTGTGCAACGTCGGATCTCAGGGAAATTCTCCGCCTACGGTACATCCACAGAATGAGGCACCACCTGGTGCCGAGGACAGCGGACATCGTTTACAAATCGACGTTTCCATCTCCTCCCCCTCATCCCCCATCTGATATTGGCTACGGCCGGGGGGTCGCCGAAACAGCTCGGTGGTGCAACATTGTGTCGATCGCCTGGGGAACCCCGGGCGGCTCCGCATCGCATGCCCCCAATACATTGGGAGAGGGGGGGGGAGTGGTGATCAAGAACCCATCTGGCCCCCCCCTAAAGTGGTGCAACATGTAGTCGACGTGCGGTAAGCCTTCCCCGCGAAGGCACAGAAGGCTCCTCCGAAGGCTGGGGCGCTTCTCCTTCTCGCTTCCCCCCCCCTCGCGCTCGCCGCCGAGCGGCAGCCAGTTCCCAGGGGCGGCCCGCATGGGCCCGAGCAAGAGGAGCGGAGTGAGCTGAGCGGGGGCGACGCAGCTGAGGCGATGGCTCGGGCCTGAGGTGGAGGAGAGGGGAGGGGGGGCGGGGGGAGGGAGGGAGGAAGGGAGGAAGGGAGGGAGGGAGGGAGGGGGAGGGGAGTCGAGACCACTATCTCGAGTAGGGCATCGACTACAGAAATGCTCCAGAACTGATTTTCCTTATCGAGTCTACGACGAATCCGTGGATGTGCTTCGTACATATACTGAGAATTCTAGACCCTGGGGTCCGACGTTGCAAAACACATGCAACATCGCAAAAATCACGCCCGGACCCTGGGACCCCATCTTCCTGCGTCCTTGTTCGGGCTGGATCGATCCGTGAGGGCCTTGTGGGGCCCGATATCGAGGGAACACGCCCGTGGTGAAAAAACGGCAACACCAGGATCTCAGGGTAATTTTGGGGCAAGTCCATTCTGTAGTCGATCCCCACTCGAATATCCGCTGAAGTCCCTTGGGTCGAGGCTCCACCGAGCATTCTACGTATTTTTCCCGTAGACTCGACGAGAGGAAGTCGATTCTGGTGTGCATCAGTTCCGTGGCCGATCCCCTGCTCGAGGCTCGAGGCTCGAGGCTCGAGGCTCGACGCGGCGCGTGCGCCGCCGCTCCCTCGGCGAGGTGCCCCGCGCCCGGGGCCACTCCGCGCCGCCCTGGCCCGCCGCGCCGCCCGGCGCTCCCGCTGGGCGCCCGCCGGCCCGGGCGCGCGGCGGCGGCGGGGCACCCGGCAGCGCGCAGGAGCGCGCCCAGGCGCGGCCTTAAGGGGGAGGCGCGGGGGTCAGAGGTGCAACGCCCGGACAGACAGCGGGGACGGAGGTTTCTCACGGTTTTCGGCCTCCCGGGGCCCTCGCCGGGCCCCGGGACCGCCAAAAAGCGACTCGGGAGGAACAACCGGTCCTGGGGAATCGGTCGAGATTTCCAGGGACCCATTGAAAAAATCACGACATCGGGTCTCTGGGGAGCGCCGATCTTGCAGGATCCTGCGGGGCCAGGGTCGCATTGACCCGGGCTTGGGCGCAGGGTCCTGGGTATATGGCAGGATGCTTCGCATGGACCCGGGCTTGGGGTGCAGGATCTTGCAGGATTCTGCAGCCCCTGACGGGCCCAGGTCTGGATTGACCCGGGTCCGAAGATCCCCGAGCCCGGACGCGGGCGAGGCAGGGGAGGAGGAGGAGGAGGAGGAGGAGGAGGAGGAGGAGGAGGAGGAGGAGGAGGAGGAGGAGGAGGAGGAGAGGAGGAGGAGGAGGAGGAGGAGGAGGAGGAGGAGGAGGAGGAGGAGGAGGAGGAGGAGGAGGAGGAGGAGGAGGAGGAGGAGGAGGAGGAGGAGGAGGAGGAGGAGGAGGAGGAGGAGGAGGAGGAGGAGGAGGAGGAGGAGGAGGAGGAGGAGGAGGAGGAGGAGGAGGAGGATGGAAGGAGGAGGAAGGACGAGGAGGAGGAGGAGGAGGAGGAGGGAGGAGGAGGAGGAGGAGGAGGAAGAGGAGGAGGAGGAGGAGGAGGAGGAGGAGGAGGAGGTTTTCGGGCTCGAGGCGCGAAGTGTACGGGTGTTCTCGCAGTTTCATGCAGCGTTCCGCCCTCGGGATGCGCCCCAGCGGCTGCGCCCCGCCGAGAGGGTTCCAGGGGCCCACAGAACCAGTGCCAGCGGCGCGCCCAGAGGAAGGGAGAAGGAGAACGCTGTCTCGGAAGGCGGCGAGACTTCTCCGAAGCCCTCGCGCCTTCTGAGTTCTGCGTCTTCGAGGAAGGCTCAGGAAACTTCTCAGAAGGCTGGGGGACTTCCAAGCCTTCTGAGAAGGCCCGCCCCTTCTCACTTCCCCCTGGGCTCGCCGCTGACAGACACGGGCAAAGCAGGGGGAGCGTTCCCTCAGATCCAGGTGCTGCATGTTCTTTCAAGGACGGGTCACAACGCTGTTTAGTTTGGTTTGGGCCTCTGCTATGTATGTAGTTCGTTTCGTTGTTTGTTTGTGTTTCGTGTCGTTGTGCGTTGTTGTCTTAAGCGTCTCGTGTCGTTGATCGTTTCGTTTGACACCAGCTTCGTTTTTTACGTTCTTTTTGAACGTTGGGTTTCGTTTTGTTGTTCGTTTTGAACGCCATTTCGTCTTTAACATCATTGCGGTCGGTCCTAGTTTTTGGTCACAAGGGATTTTTCACCCAGTTTCGGACCCTGGGAACCTCACTGATCGATGCGGCTCTACAAAGGGCGCAGGAAGATGAAGTCTGGGGCCCTGGTGGTGTTCTGTTGCGATGTTGCATGCTGTCTGCAACGTCAGATCTGGGGGCCCTCGGGCGGCCCTGGACGACGACGCCTTCGGGACCTTGAGCTCGAGGGGGCCTGGCAAAAGACGACTCGGGTTGAAGAATTGGTCCCGAAGGGAGGAGGAGGAGGAGGAGGAGGAGGAGGAGGAGGAGGAGGAGGAGGAGGAGGAGGAGGAGGAGGAGGAGGAGGGAGGAGGAGGGGGAGAGGAGGGAGGAGAGAGGACGAGGAGGGGGGGGGGGAGGGGAGGAGGAGGAGGAGGAGGAGGAGGAGGCGGAGGAGGAGGAGGAGGAGGAGGAGGAGGAGGAGGAGGAGGAGGAGGAGGAGGAGGAGGAAGAAAGCCCCTGACAGTCCTCCGGCGGACTGGTTTTTCAGAGGCCCGAAGCTCGAGGGCCGCACGTCGAGGGTAGTGTTGCCTTGGGCCCAGCAGGGTGCTGTTCGCCCAGTCTGGGCTTCCAGAGGCTCATGTGCGCCACGGCCGGGATGTCCTGGAAACTCGGGCCAGCGACATGGATTTTCCTCTGGATGCGGATCCCCTTTCGCGGGGAAGCAGATCACGACGGGACGTTTTCGGTCACTTTCGCGGCCCCTAGGGGCCCTTACCGGACCCGAGGAGTCGAGGGTCGAGGCTGCCAGGAGGTGATGTTCGCCCTGTCCTGGATCGAGGGTCGCAGATCGAGGGGCCCGAGGCCTTTGGACGCCATGTTCGCCCTCCTGGGCCTACGGGGGGGGCTTTCTCGCTGTCTCGCCTGCACTCCTCGCGTAACCCCACCAGCCTATCCAGAAGCGATGCCCAGGCGAGTTGCCCGGATCAGGGGTGCAGAGGAGCATGCAGTGGAATATCGGGCTGGGGAAGCCGTCATACCCCAAGAGGGGGAGGATGGAGGAGGAATCGGAGGAGGAGGAGGAGGAGGAGGAGGAGGAGGAGGAATCGTGGGAGGGGGAGGGGGAAAGAGGAGGAACAGGTGGAGGAGGAGGAGGAGGAGGAGGAGGAGGAAGAGGAGGAGGGCGAGCAGAATGGCCAGGGGCCTCTTGGATGCTTGTCGGGGTCTCTTCGGATTTCTCTTGAAAGCTTTTTGGAGTCCTCTTGGGGTCTTGGGGGTGGGGGCATCTTGGCGGTCCTGGGGGCCTCTTGGAGCGTCTTGGGTGCCTCGGGAGAGCCTCTTAGGGGTCTCTAGGGAGCCTCTTGGGGACCTCTTTGGGGCCTCTTGCGGACCTCTTGGGGCCTCCTGGGCGCCTCTTGGGGCCCTGTTGGGGCACTCTTCGGAGCCTTGGAAGCCGCCTTGGGGCCATCTTGGAGGAGATCAATCACAGAAGGTGGGAACTTAATCCGGGTCCCCCCCAGGAGGCCAACATGGGCCCCAAACCGACGTAATTGAAATGAATTGTGCGTTTAGCTGATGCCTTCTTGGACGCTCCAATCGGTAGCGAACCCCCCCGTCCAGGTCCAGAGGAGGGGGTAGGGGGAGGGGTCAAGACCTTCCCCGCCCGCAAGCTGTCTCGCTCACTCCCACCCGATCCCACCCGCCCTCCCAACACAGACCTAGCACCCGAGCCTCAGCATGTTCAGCGGTCGTCTACTTGGATGGACAGCTCCTGGAAACGAACAAGGACCCAATGTGCGCGACGCTGGGGCGAGTTGCGCCATGCGTGCCAGGCGCGCCACGCGTGCCAGGCACCCTTGGGGTCCAAGTGTGCTTGGCACGCGTGGCGCGCCAGATGTGCCACGTGCTCCACGTGCGCCGTGTGTGCCACATGGTCCAGCCGCGCCAGGTGCGCCACGTTCGAGGCACGCGCAGAGTGTGCCAGGTGTGCCCGCGCACGTGACAGCACACATCGGGAAACATGTCGGCCACTGTCAATCTTGTCGAAAGCCAAAGCAGAATCGCGGCGGTAAGGCCATCATGGTGTCTGCTGGGCCTGCGCACAGCAGGCAATACGCCAGCACCCCCGCCAGCCTTACCCAAAACTGATGGGCTGATTGCGGGCTGGCGGCCGCACGTGATCCAGATTTAACCGAGGATTGCATTTTGTATAGGTTTTCGACAGTGGGGGGGGCTTGCGCACAGCATGAAATATGAGCCCCCCCGCCGTCCCTGTCCGAGTGCTCGCGAGACCCACGATTATGACCCAAGCTTTTGCCCCAGAGTGTATTTTGAATTGCTTTTGACCGAGATCATGTGGGGGGGGTCATTGGTCTTGGTTGGCTGCCGGTCGCCTGGGGGATGGGGTTTCTTAATAGGGAACAGTGATAAACCCCCTCCCGAAGGGGAAAACGGGGGTTGGAAGAAGAACGCTCGAAACCACAGGCGCCCTGAAGGGCTGGTGGGGTTCTTGACGCTTCGCATACCTTCACCAGCCCATCCAGAAACCGATGCCCAAGCGAGTTGTCTGGAGGAGGGGCGTAGGCAAGAACTTGGTGAAGCAAGGTGGCCAACAATTGCGAAACCAGACCTCGGGGAGCGTGTCGGAGCCACCTTCGTACCATGAAGGAAGCACTTGGGGCTCTCTTGTGGCACCCTGGGGACCCTCTGCGGGCCCTCTTGGAGTTCGATTTTTCGGCCAAGCAGTGCACCCCCTGGAGAGGTCTGGGGGCCGAGTTCTGAGGGCAGAAGGGCCCAGCCTTCGGGCGGGCTGTTTCTGTGGGTCACTCCTGGCGTCCCTTCTCGGTTCTGGCCCGCTTGCAGGGTTCGCTTTCGGGCCTCAGGACCACCAGACGGATGTTCTTTCTCTGTTCTCTTTTGTTTGTTTCTCTCTCTTTCTCTCGCTATCTCTCTCTCTCTCTGTCTCACTGTCGGTTTCCATATATAAATATGTATATGTATATACATATATACATATATACACATACAACTATGCAATCAGCTGGGAAACCGATGACGGCATGGCATGTACAATGGCATAAGCATGTGCGTACACTGTGCGTACATGTGTCCATGCACATTCACATCTGCATGTACATGCATGTTTACACGCATACGTGTACGCACGCACATGTAAATGCACATGCATACATCGGCATCTACGCATACGTATGCATCTGCATAAACGCTTACATACGCCTAGACGTACATGTATAACATACATCTGCATACCAGTACATCTACTTATACACATGCACGCCCGTATACCTATATACATTTGTAGATGCGCAAACACGCATACATCTGCACAACGCACATACGCTCAAACATACACACGTGTACGTATCTATGCACATCTATAACGCGAACGCGTACACATATACATAAGAAGATGCATGCACGTGCACACGTAAACATACATAATCATACATACGCATGTGCATACTCGTATCCATGCGATTCCCCCCCCCCCCCCCTCGATTTTGCCTTCTGGGGGCCGTTTTCGGGTTTGGGGAGTGCCAAAAACGGATCCAGGGTGGGAGAGTGCCCCCCCCCCCCCAGGGGGAGGGCTTCCAGAGCGCCGAAAATATGGCACCGTTGGACGTCTTGGCCCGACGGCGCGGAGGATTCCGACGACGACGCCTTCGCCCAGGCACTGAGCCTACCCAGCGGCCGCAGGTCTCGTAGGGCCGAAATCGGGACAGCGAACGGGGACATTAAATGACGGCACGGATGATGGCCACAATCCTGCACCGCTCGCGCGACCCGGGTGCCTGCATCAACGCGGCCTCCTGCCCAGTCGGCTGATCGGCATATCGCAGCGCAGCCCGCCAATACTGAATTGGGTGCGCGGGGGGATTTGCAAAAATCAGCGTAAAAGGTGCGGGATTCTGTCCATCAGCCGCAGTTCTCGGAAGCCAGCAACATGTGTACACGTGCACGGTCCGCGTCCGCTGGCCTGCGTTTGAGCGCAGTCACTCGGGCAACCAGGGCCGCGGAGGGCGCACATGTACGTATATGTCTTTGCTCGTTTGGGTTCGTTCTGGATTCGTTTTGAACAGGGCTCTCTGTGGGTTTTGCGCCGCCAGCGCCCGCCCCCCCAAGAGGCCGAAACTGATGAAACGTGCCGGACTTGCAGAAACAGCCTGCCGAATGTCTGCAGGGCTCCCCGCAGGACCAGCTCTGCACCCCGAGTGTGTTTTGACCGCCGCCTGGGCCACCACGCGCTGAGCGACCGCCAGCACCACGACAAAAAAAAGGTTCGGACTGCCGCGGGCCCCTGGAAGGCTTCTGGAGGCCGAAACGGCGAAAACCGTCCAGGACCCTTGCCCTTGCCCACGTCGGGTGTGACAGAGTGCTGGAAGGAAGCGCGCCACCACTGCCACCACCTCGGTCGTTTGCAGCGTGAGCTGATCTGCTGGATGCAGGTGCGCAGGTTGCCCCGCGGGAGCGCCGGGTAGGGAGAGCACCACCACCACCTCTGGCGACTTTCGTCGTCTGCCTCCTCCAGGTCGGAGGCGTTCCAGAGGGCTTCGCCCTCGAGGAATGGAGAGGCTCACATCTCTTCCTCGGCGGAGGGCGGCGGAGAGCGAGGGCGCCTCCGTCGGCGGGAGCCGGCCGAAGGCCGGCGGAAGCCGGTGGCAGTAAAAGATTTGTGCGCCCAAGAAGTGGCAAGGTGCTTTGGCGCAGGGCTTCCAGAAGCGGCCAGGTGGCGGCGGTGCGGCCCCTGCCCCCTGCCAGCCCAGACCCATGAGGGTGCAGAAGTGCTTATCTAAGACCGTGTCTTGATTGAGCACCGTGGTCTCCATTTCAAGCACTGCGATCTCAAACAGAGGCGTGGTCCCTATTTGAGACCGCAGCGCTTTCCTGTGGGCCTCTGCAGAGGTCTCGACGCCTGCCCCCACGGGGGGGCGTCTTCGCGGCCAGGAGCGGCTTTGTTGACGGCCCCGGCGCCCGAGGATGCCCCCCTCTTGGCCGAGGTTCCCCCGAAGAGTGCTTGCACTTAGGGGCTTTTAAGTTTTGTTGGCCATGTGGTCGCCGTCGCCGCCCCGTCGCCGCACCGTCGCTGCCCGTCTTCTGGGCCTGCCCGTCGGTCTGGCGGCTATGTGGTCGCCATCGCCGCCCCGTCGCTCCGGGCCTGCCCGTCGGACTGGCGGCTACGTGGTCGCCATCGCCGCCCCGTCGCCATCTGGGTCTGCGTTACTTTGCATTGCTTTGCGTTACTTTGCATTTTATTGTGCTGGTTTGCATTGTTTTTTTTTTAACATGCGTTTCTTTGCACTGGTTTACATTGATGTGTATTGCTTTACCTTGGTTTGCATTGCTTGGCGTTGTATTGCTTCGCATTGCTTTACGCTGCTTCTCGTGCTTTGCATTGCTTTCCATTGCTTTGCGTTGCTTTGCATTGCTTCGTATTGCTTGGCGTTGCTGTGCACTCCACAAGCAATGCTTGCACTCAGGGTTTCTCACTTGTGCTCTAAGGTGACTTGGCCCCAGTGGCGACCCAGCCGGCTCATCGCCGCCCGTCGCCGTCCGTCGCCGATGGGCCCCAGCGGTGGTCCGGCCGGCTCAACCCCGCCCGTCGCCGTCCGTTGCCGCCGTTCGTCGCCACCGCTTGCACTCGTCCAAGGCTGGTCGGCTCGTCGCCGCCCGTACTTTGCATTGCTTTGCGTTATGTTGCATTGTGTTGCTTTGCATCGCATGGCGTGGCTCTGCATTGCTGCATATTGCGCTGCATTGCTTTACATCGCATCGCAACGCATTTTGCATTGCTGCGCATCGCATTACATTGCTTTGTGTTGCTTTTCGTTGCGTTGCGCTTCTTTGCATCGCATGTCAATGCTTTGCAAGGTTTTGCATTGTTTTGCGCTGCTTTGCGTTGCTGTGCATTGCTGTGCATTGGTTTGCATTGCGTTGCGCCACGTTGATTGCACCACATGGATTGCACCACCTGGATTGCACCGCATTGATTGCACTACCTAGACTGCATTGCATAGGCTGCAAGAAATCATTGTGGGGTACACGCAAAACACGGACTACGAAAACAATCCGCCGGATTTCCGAGGAACGGTCCAAAGGCGGTGCGGCCCGCAACGGCTCGGTGCGATACGACATTGTAGGCGAGGTTGGCTTGTGAATATTTTTGCGCTCTTTCATGAGCTTGTTTGTGCAGCCAGCGCCCGCGTCTACTATGGACTGCCGCAGAAAATCAGAGTCTAGACCACACCAATCACCGGCCACTCCGTGTGCTCAGGGGCAACGACAAGGGGGGGATAGCCTCGGGCGGGGCGGGGGAGCATCGACCCCACAATCGCCCTGGGCCTCTATAATCACTCCTCCCTTCTGGGCCTGTATAATCACTCTTCCCTTCTGGGGATTCGAGGTGGCCGCGCAGTTTTGGGACTCTGGTCGTTCTTCGAGGACCTCTCGGGCGACGGGGGTCTTCAGAGTCTCAGAGCCGTGCGGTGACGGATCGTGCAGTGAGGTCCTTGGGGATCTCGAGGTCACCGCACGGCCGTCACCGCACGGCTTCGAGAGCCCCCAGGTGCCGACCCCCCCCGATGAGAGGGGGCGGAGGAGGGAGGAGGGAGGAGGACTCCTCCTCCCTCCCCTCCTTCCTCCCCCCCTCCTCCATCCCCCCCTCCTCCCTCCCCCCCTCCGTCCGCCCTCCTGGAGGAGGGAGGAGGGAGGAGGCGGGGGGGGGGGGAGGCAGGAGCCAGGAGAGCAGGAGAGCAGGGCCGACCTCGCGAGAGGTGCCCTTCCTCCTCGCCGGACTCCGCGCGCGGCGAGGGCTCCGACGACGACGGCGGCGAGGCAGCGGGCGACTCCGCCGACGGGCTCCGGCGGCGGCGGCGGGCCCGCGGGCGGCTGCGGGGGCGGCCGGCGGCGCCGTCGACGGCAGCACCGTCGACGGCGGCGAGCCCGTCGACGGCGGCGAGCCCGTCGACGGCGGCGAGCCCGTCGAGGAGCGCGCGGCTCCGAGGCGGGGAAGCGTGAGACTCGAGTGCGCCGGAACTCGGGTTCGCCTTCGCTTTTCGGCGAGCCCGTTGTGGATTGTGGATTGTGACGGTCCAGTTTTCGTGGGATGTTTGCAGCGGGAGGTCGCGCCAAATTTCATACCGGGTCTCGTCATTTCCATGATGGCCCCGTCAGGCCAGCACGAGCCCCCCCGTACCCGAGTTTTACGTCTCCCCGGCCGAGGTGCGAGGGTCGCAGTGCGAGGGTGATCGATGCGCGGCGTCGCGGCGTGAAGAAAGCACGGCGGACGGTGTGTTGCTGCCTTCGGGCTCCCCCACCGGGCGCCGGACGTCTCAGGATGAGAAGCTGGTGCCGGGGAGGGGGTCGAGACCTCCTGGGGTTTCACGTTGCCAAAAAGTGGTGACGTCGGATGTCTAGGCCTCTGGGCCTCTGGGCGGCGCTCAGAGGAGGAGAAGATACCGATGCCGCTGCTCCTCCTGGAGGGTCCTCGTCGCCACGGCCCGAGTCTCCTCGGAACGTTAGGAAGAACACTTCCCGGGAGAGGTCTGGCGAGCAGCGGTTGCGGCATCTGTTTGCTCCCCCCGTCATGTGCCTTCTCTTTTGGGCATCCTGGCCCCAGACACGCGACATCCGGATCAGTTCGCGGTCCTTAGAAGTCCTGGCCCTTTCCCCAGGATTGGTTTTTCATCTTGAGTCGGTTTCTGATTGTCCTGGGGCCCGGGGCGAGGACCCCCAGAGGCCGAAAACGTTGGAAAATTAGGGGCAGCGGCCATCGCCAGACTGGATGGGTATGGGGCGCTTGCGGGCCTCCTATGTGCTCGGTGCTCCTTCCTTCCTTCCTCCTCCTCCTCGTCCCCCTCCTCTTCCTCCTCCTCATCATCAGCAGCATCATCATGATTATTAGCATCATCATGATCATCATCATGATCATCATCATCATCAGCAGCATCAGCATCAGCATCAGCATCAGCATCAGCATCAGCATCAGCATCATCATCATCATCATCATCATCATCATCATCATCATAATCATCATCATCATCATTATCATCATCATCATCATCATCATCATCATCATCATCATTACTCTCATCATCATCATCATCATCATCATCATTATCATCATCATCATTATCATCATCATCATCATCATCATCATCATCATCATCATCATCATCATCATCATCATCATCATCATCATCATCGTCATCCTTTTACTGTTCTGCATTTTCCTCATCACCCTCCTGGCCTGCATTGGAGATAAACGTGGTTTTCTCTCGCCATTGAGCCCCTCCCCGTGGCAACGTGAACATGCGGGGGGGTGCTCTGAGTCGTTCGCTATAACAGCTGGGCGCGCCCTAGCGGCCCGCATGCGTCGGAAGCGGCACCGCGTGGTTCTATATAGTAAGTGGGCATGGTCTCACGCCCTGCATGCTCCCCGAACCACGCGCGCTCCGCGGCCCCCGACATCTGGTCCCAAATCAGCTGGCCTACTTCGAGCACGAAGCAGCGAAGAGATCCGCTCCGTGGCGCCTGGCGCGCCACGCCCACGCGCGGACGTACTCGGCAATGCGGTTGTGGTCGGCGCTTTTGATCGAGGACGGGAGCGCCGTCGTGACCTCGTCCCAGCTGCCATCCGCCGCCTCCGTGCCGTGCTTGAGCTTGACCATGTGGACGTTGCCGTCCTTGTCCTGCACGCGCACGGCCTTCACGACCACCCACTCCTCTTTCTTGTGGCTCACCACGCCGTGCGACAAGGCCAGCCTGCGGTAGTGGGCGCTGAAGCGGTCGCGTCCGTTCTTCGGCCGCGACCCCAGGCATTGATTGGCGGACCCCGCTGCCCTCGCGCGCGCGAGGCGATCCTTGTGGTCGCAGCAGGGCGACTATATCAAGTCGCCAGCGGCGAAAGCCTCGTAGCAGTCGGCTCCGTCTGTCAGGGCGATCGCACCGCGGCCGATGTGCTTCTTGACGGCCTCGTCGCGCCAGGCCCCGCTCAAGGGCACGCCGCCGCCTCCCGCCATGATCGTCCCCCAGAGGGGGTCGAATGAGCACCATGTTGGCCCTGCTGCCGCGCCCTACCATGATGGGCCGACGGTTCCAGAGCAAGCGGCAGCCAGGGCATTCGGGCTTGCACTTCTCGCGCGGCTTCTTGCAGCTGACCCTCTTCGGCCCTGCTGCCACACCCGTCGAGCTCCACGAGCACGCCGTCCTTGAACTTGATGCGGGCCTGTTCTGCAGGGTTCATCTGGGCCATGTGGCAGCGGACCTCGCCCAAGCACAGCGCCATGGAATTCTTCGAGATGCCCTGCCCGACGGCGCAGTCCCCGCGGCTCGGGCGGCGCGCAGCCCACGGCGCGCGCGCCAAATGAATTTGCGAGTCATCCTTTGTCCCGCGGGTGCTCTCCCGTTTCTCCCCTTCGAGAGAGATGGGCGCGCGCTCCTTGCCCTGCGCCGCGACGCCCACTCTTCGTGCCAGCGCGCGCCCAATCGCCGCGACGGCACCTGCGCGAGGTCGGGGCGTTCACTTGGAGAGATTGCAGCAGTGCTAGCGCAAGCAATTCTTCTCTTTCCGGCCAGCAAGCATGAATGGGGATGAGTTGGCATTGCGCAATCCCGCGGGCGCCTCCGCGTCGCCCGCGTTCGCGGGGATCCCAGGAGGGCGCCCGCCTGCGATCGCCTGGGGAGACAACTTAGTGCTGCATCCGCGTGGGCACTTCTTGCCCTCTATCCGCGGCAGGTGCCCGAGCTCCACGCCAATCCGAACCTTGTTCGCCGCGTCAATGCAGCGGAACCCTCGGAAGTCAATGCGCTCTCCTTTGGCCTTGCAGGCGAGAGGCGCCGTTTCCTCTCTTACCTCTTTTTTTTGCCACTGTAGCGGGGGCCTGGCAACTCCTTTGCCCTGGCCTTGCCGAGCTTTGGTTTGGTCCGGGGCCGCAGCATATTTAAAGGCGATGCGCAAGCGGACATGCGCGGCCTTGAAGCGCCCCCCCCTCTGAAGCTGGGCGCCTCTAGCACGGGGGCTTCTTTGGTTTCGCGACCGACTTCATGGCGGCCTTCGGGGCGGGCTTCGCGAGGGTCTTCACGGCGGACTTCATCGCAGGCTTCGCCATCGCCTGGCCGCCAGCGGGACAGCGCGCGGCGCGCCTGCGGGGCGGCGAGAGGCGACAGAGGCAGCAGGGGGCGCGATTGAGCTCAAATGCTGCGGGCAACCGCACTTGCATCGGCGCGCGGGAACGATTGAGATTGCAGCGCCAACGACTAGCCCGAAGTACGCGGGGGCGGCTGGCTTTCCGAGAGCGGCAACGGGGGCCGAGCGGCCCGCGGGCTGCGACGACGCCGACGGCGACGGCGGCGGCGACGACGACGATGGCAATGATGTCGGCCGAACAGAGACGGCGAGCACGTTTACCCGTGGGGAACCTAAGCAAGATAGCACAGGTTGACGACAGCATGGCGGCCTGCGCCCCCAGCTCACATGGGGCGCAGCGGCGCGCGCTGAGGGCGCCAGCGCTGCCCGCGAAACCCGCGCGAGTCACCTGCCCGTTCGCGCGCCCGCGGCCGTCTGCTCAATCCTGACTCCCGAGGGGCGCGCGCGCGCGCCTAGTATCGCAGGCGCCGCGGGCGCCCCCTCTGCGGCCAGCGTCTGGGAGAGCTGGGCGTCGAGATCGCCGCTGGGCGGCGCCGCGAACCCGCGCGTTGCTTGGCGGGGATGGGCCGTCGGTGTTGATCGCCATCCCCGAGGGCAGACGCTTCCGAAGCCTCGGGCGCTCAGGGGGCAGGCCTTCGCTGAGCCTGTCGGGGGCTCAAACGCGATGTCCTGCGGGGGGGGGGCTAGGGCCGAGGCGGCGTTTCAGCGTTCGAATCGCGTTGAAGCGCCCCCTCAGCCTTAGGGCCGCGCCCCGCAGGACCGTAGCTTTGAACCCCCGAACCTGGGCGAAAGACTGCGCTGGCGAAGAACCGACGGCCGCGTCCGAGGACCTCTTGCGGTTCTTCTCCGCGGCGGAGTCCACGAGGAGCCGCTCCTTCTCCGAGAGCTGCTGGCAATTTGCGGGCGGCGTCACCGCCCCCCTGCAGTAGGTGCAAGCGCTTCCCCTCGGCCGCCAAGAAGGTCTCGCCCTCGAAGTTAATGCGCGGAACATCCTTCTCCTCAGTGCCTGCTGGACGCCAGTGGAGGTTTTCCTGGGTGTTCACAAGAAGCGCAGTGCGCTGGAAGAGAGCCGGCACGCATGCGCGGGCCCCCATCTCGGAGAAGGCGGGGCGCGCGAGCTCGGAGCTCGAAGAACTCTTGGAACGTCGCGGAGGGCCAGCGGCCCCGCTTCTTGTCAGACGGATCGCAAGTCTGGTCTGCCACGCACCGAGGCCCCCCCTTCCTCCATGTCGCTGCGCCCCACCAGGCCCAGCACATGTTCTCGCGCTGGCTGGCGTCGAGCAAGGCTTTCGCCATCTTGGGCCGGAGGAGGTTCGAGCAGCCGTCGCCCGCAAAGCATCGGGGCGTCGCCTGGCTCGCCTCGCAAGAAGTCGATCTCAGGCGCGACGCGGATGGGGCGGCCCGCGGCCTCCAATCCGTTTACCCGCGCGCTCCTGCGGCGCATTGGCATCGGGAATGCGCGCCCGAGCGGCGCCTCGCCGAAGTTGGGCCCCCCAGCGAGGGCGAGCGAATCGTTGCCGTTGGTAAGCTCCTGCGTAATTCCGAGAACGCGAATATTGTAGTGGCCCTCGCAGAGGATCACGTCGTTGACGAACTCTTCCTTCGTAGGCGCCCTCTCCGCCGCGAGGCCGTTCAGCGCCTTCGCAACCGAGGCAGCGGGCCAGCCGTGAAGGGGGCCCCTTGCGCAGCGCCTCCGTCTGCCATGCCAGCTGCTCGAGGTCGGCCGTGGAACGAGGCGCGTTCTTCAGGACGTATTCGAGGCCCGCGTTTATCTTCTCATCCGAGAGCTCGTAGAATTCGTTCACCTTGGCGGCCGTCTCGGCGTCTGGCGACAGGGAAACAATCCCGAAACTGTTTCCCGCCAAATCGCCCGAAGGCGCGCTGCCAGACTGCCTGGGGGGGGCGGGGCTGAGGTGCTGAAACATTTTGAAAGACACAAGGAACCACCAAACTGACCAAACAAACCGAAGGTCCACTGTTGGATTTTAACTAAAAACAAGGACCCCCCTCCCCCCCCGAAGAAAAAAAACACTATGTGCGCCCCCACCACCCACTCCTTGACTAAATACCACACCTGTGTTTTTATGTGTTGTTTGTTTCTTGTGTTTTGTTTGGCTTTCCAACTGCCGATTTTGTTATTGCTAAAAACAACAACAAGACAAACAACACCCTGTTTGTCTTCTTGTTTGTTTTGTTGTTCGTTCGCCCTTCGCATGGATGCCACGCGCGTGGATCCTCTTCATACGAAGGGCAATGACAAGACACGGATGCACATACGGCGGAGGAGCAGGGAGGAAGAGGAGGAAGAGGAGGGGAGAAGAAGGAACGAAGTGATGAAGGAAGCGGAGACGGGAGGGGAGGGGTCCAATTGCAAACCCTTCTAGGGCCGAAAGCCATTTCAAACCCTTTGAGGGCCGAAAGCCCCCTTACCCATCCAGTCTGGAGCTGCAGCGATAGGGGGAGGGATAGGCATTAGGAGGGGATGCATCGACCCCAGATCGCCCATTGATGGCCGATGGGCGTCTGATACCCCCCCCCGCCCAGGAAGGTGCGGCTTCGCTATCGGGAGCCCATCGCCGATCAATCGGCGATGTATCGCCGATCCCACGTCGACGCATCCTCCCCTCCTATGCCAGACCCTCTCCATCATCGATGCCCCTCAAAGAGCCTCCCTGACATTTTCACGACGAGAGCACGTCTGGAGGCGGTTTCTCGTCGCCACGGGCGACATCCCGTCGAGTCCCCCCTGGACGGGCTGGGGGGGCCCGCGTCTTTCCAGGCTTGCGCGCAGAAGCGTCAAGAACGCCGGGCTTCCGCCGCCTCCGAGTTCTGGCCGAGGGGCCACTTTCAAGACAAGGGGCCACGACGAGGGAACGCCTCCCAAAAAGGGCTCGGCCGTTCCGTCGAAGTTCGTGGCTCGATTGTGGGAAAAGGGACTTCGCTCCTTGTTTAGCGTCCCTTAAGCACTGCGAGCACAGTCGGACCGAGGCACAATATTGAGGTCGGTTCGAGGAGGGTGCCCTGCGGTTCTTCGTGATTTGTTGAATGCTCTTGTGCATCCTGGGGGAGGGTACCCTCGGACGCTCTTCGTTTCGGCCCGCGGAGGGTCTCATGTTCTGCGGATGCTCTTCTGGCCCAGGTCCGACCCTACTGCATTCGATCCTGCCGCTTCCCCTCCGCCTCGGCCCCTGGGACTCTGCTGCACGGGGGCCCCCTCCAGGCCCCTGGGGCCCTCCTGGCGGACTCGATTGGACGTAAGAGAGCCCTTTCGCCGGAGTGACCTTGGCCGAGGGGGGCCTTCCGATCCCCGAACGCGATGCTGTAGTAGCGTCCTGCGCGCCCGTGTTTGGGCCCCCCATACGCCCCCAAAAAAGCCGCGCACCACAGGTCGCTCTTACCCAGGGCCACTCCTGCACGTAGCCGAGTGGACGAAGAGCTGCCCTCAGGGCAGAGGCAAGGAGGCCTCTAGGGCCCGTGAGCGGACCACAGCAATGCGCCAAACATGTGTGTTGGGGGGTTTTTAACATCGCAGCGCGGCAGAGCCGATCCCCACGCGCGCTCGAGTGGCCCGGGGCGCGTGGCGTGCTGCTTCACCGGCGGCAGGACCGGCAAAGACGTGAGAGTGACCCTCCGCCAGAGTGGCCTCTGGTGCGGGCTCATCGGGGCCCCCCCCGATCGCTGCGCGCGATGCGATGCCGGCTGCCTGCGCGCTTGGACTTGGCCATCCTGCGCCCCCTTAATAATATGCCGCGCACCAGAAAGGTCACTCCTGCCCGGGGCCACTCTATTGAGTGTAGCCGACAGGGGGCGGAAGGAGGAAGAGGGCGGCCGCGGAAGGCAGGTGGGGGACAAGGACACTCGCTGCGAAAAGGGTTTCGCGGCAGGAGTGGCCAGACACTCCGCCAGACGTCCGACGATGAGATTGCTTCAGCCCGCCCCCGCGTTGAGCTTGTCGTCCCGGCTTCGTTTCTGCTGGCCCGAGGGCCCGAAGAAGGGCTCCTCGGGGCCGAGCTCGAAGCGAGGTGCCCAGGTCTGACGCGTCCAACCGCCGGCCCTGCCCAGGAGCGCTCTGGCGCCGCCCAGCGACAGCGGCGAGCCCGCCGACGGCCCCGACGCCATCTGGTCGGGGTGCGACGAGATCCGGCAGGCCATCCTGACCAGGTGCGGCTTCCTCAGGCCGCCACGCCGCTTTGTGATAGTTTCCTTGTTCATTGTTTTGCCGATCGGCGTGGGCCCTCGCACCCCCCCCTTCCCCCCCATGGAGTAGATCTTGGCTGTCTTTGGCGCCTGTTTCAAGCAGGCGGAGTCTCCCCCATAGGACGCGCTGTTGCAAACAGTCGCAGTAAGCAAAGGTCCGGAGCCAGACCCCCCCCCTCCCCCTCCCCGTCTGCACAATGTCGAAACGCGAATTAAGAAAACGTTCACTTAGAGGTTCAGGGCTTTCGGGCGATTTCGTTGATTCTCTGCGGTTTTCCAGTCTCGGAGTGCTCTTCAGCAGCTGCGCCCCTATGAGAGCGTTCCAGGAGAGCCCGGATCTCCCCGAACGGACGTTGGGGAGCCGAGCTATGACCCGAAGGCCAGGGAGCAATTTCAGGAGGGGATAGGCTCAGGGGGGAAGTATAGACAGCCCAAATGGGGTCGGAGCAGAAGGGGTTGGTGGATCGCGCCGCATCACCGGTGCTTTGGCGATGCGGCTCGATGTGAGCTCGATGTTCTCCACGTCAAGGTCGCCGATGCATCGCCGACGCTGCAGATGCACCAGCGATGCGGCGCGATCCTCCGACCCCGTCTGCACGGACCCCATCCAGGGGGGCCCGTGCAGCAGGGGGTCCTGAGGGGCGGCCGGCGTGCGGCAGGCGGCGCGGCCGCGTCGCGGCGGCACCTGCCGCGGGGAGGGTGCGGGGAGGTGGAGGCCGAGGGAGGTGTCCGGAGCTCCTCCGCCGGTCTCGGCCTTCCTTTCGCCCCGGGGCCTGACCAGAAGGCTCTCTGTGAACGGAGCGGCCAGTCCCGGGGGGATGGCCCTCAGGGTCTGCCTTCCCTCAGTAGCGGTGCTGCTGCCCTTGCCTCGTCGTCGCCTCTGGGCCCTCTTGGGAGGCCCTCGTCGCCAGTAGTAGTAGTAGTAGTAGTAGTAGTAGTAGTAGTAGTAGTAGTAGTAGTAGTAGTAGTAGTAGTAGTAGTAGTAGTAGTAGTAGTAGTAGTAGTAGTAGTAGTAGTAGTAGTAGTAGTAGTAGTAGTAGTAGTAGTAGTAGTAGTAGTAGTAGTAGTAGTAGTAGTAGTAGTAGTAGTAGTAGTAGTAGTAGTAGTAGTAGTATTAGTAGAGTAGTAGTAGTAGTAGTAGTAGTAGTAGTAGTAGTAGTAGTAGTAGTAGTAGTAGTAGTAGTAGTAGTAGTAGTAGTAGTAGTAGTAGTATTAGTAGTAGTAGTAGTAGTAGTAGTAGTAGTAGTAGTAGTAGTAGTAGTAGTAGTAGTAGTAGTAGTAGTAGTAGTAGTAGTAGAGTAGTAGTAGTAGTAGTAGTAGTAAGTAGTAGTAGCAGTAGTAGTAGTAGTAGTAGTAGTAGTAGTAGTAGTAGTAGTAGAAGTCGAAGTAGTAGTAGTAGTAGTAGTAGTAGTCAGTAGTAGTAGTAGTAGGTAGTAGTAAGTAGTAGTAGTAGTAGTAGTAGTAGTAGTAGTATAGTAGTAGTAGTAGTAGTAGTAGTAGTAGTAGTAGTAGTAGTAGTAGTAGCGCCAGAACCACCGACGCCACGGCCGGTGCTATGTCTCCCGGCTCGTGCTATGTGCGAAACCTTCGTGAATCCTAAGGGCTCAAGCTGCCCGACTCAGGGCCCAAGATGGCCCACAGGCGGACAACATGCATGGAACATACGTGCGCACACACACACACACGCACATAGCACATACATATATATATATATATGTGTATACACACATATAAAGATGTATATAGCAGCAGAAATGTGGATGCTGTGCTGCGCTGTGCTATGCTCTGCTATGCTCTGCTATGCTATGCTATGCTATGCTATGCTATGCTATGCTATGCCATGCTGCGCGCTGCTATGCTGGGCTAGGCTAGGCTAGGCTAGGCTAGGCTATGTTATGCTATGCTATGCTATGCTATGCTGCGCTATGCTATGTTGCGCTATGCTATGTTGCGCTATGCTATGCTATGCTATGCTATGCTATGCTATGTTTGTGTTTTGCCTTCGCTTTTGCCTTCACTTTTGCCTTTGCCTTTGCTTTTGCTTTTGCTTGGCACCCAGGGAGCGCAACTGGGGGAACCGCGCGTTTGCTTTTACCTTTGATGTTGCTTTTGCTTGGCTCCCAGGGGACCGGGGGAACCGCCCGGGGCGGGTTCCATTGCCCGGCCCCTTTCAGCGAAGAAAGTAAGAACCCTTCTAGGCAGAGCCTGGGAAGGGAATAAGAAGAAGAGGCAAGAGCATAGACTTTCGGAACTCTGCGCGGATTTCTATTCGACCCCTGCTGGGGCCCCCTGGTTGCACCTGGCGCCGCCCCTGGCGCGCTCCGCGCGCCAGGGAAGGGGGGGTTCAGCGCCGATCCAAGAAATCTGCGCGAAGCTCCGAAAGCTCATGTTTATGTGATTTCTTCAGCTCCTACGAGCTTGGGGCAGGGCTTGGGACTGCTGTGCTCAGGGTCGCCGGGCCAGACCAAAAGCGGAAGGCTTCGGGTGGGGTTTTACCATGGCTTCCTAGATAGGCCAGGCAATTAAGGTCGGGTGACGCCTCGGAAGGTACCCTCGGTGACCGTCTGCACCGGGTTTTTTTTGCCAGCAGAGGGGCTCTTGTTCTTGTAGTATGTTCTTACATCGCGGTGACCAAAGTTATATGTGGGCTGCCTGCAAGATGACTGACGACAGGCGGAGTGGTCGGAGTAGAAATCACTTTGCGCGGACATGCATCCCGCCAATTTTTTCCCCAAACAGCTTGCTGAACGGGGTGTGGTCCAGCCCATTTCGCTTGAGACATTCTCACAACTCTCGTTTCCGAGTTGGCCGGGATTGGGCGTTTCGTCTGAGACATTCTGTAAATCGGAAGATCGAGATGCCGCACGAGAGGTGATCCGATGCGTGTCGCCTGAGACATCCTAGCAACTCTGACCTCCCAGATGCCGCGCGCGATGTGTTCCGGCGCGTTTCGCCTAAGACATCCTTGCAATGCTGTGCTCGGAGATGCTGCGCGAGAGGTGGTCCGTTGCGTTTCGCCTGAGGCATCCTCACAATTGGGCTGCGAGATGCCGCGAGCGAGGTGGTCCAGTGCTTTTCGCCTGGGACGTCCTAACACTTCTGAGCTCCGAGATGCTGCGCGCGAGATCTTCGAGGTGCTGCGCGAGAGGTGTTCAAGCTCGTTTCGCTTAGGACTTCCTCGCAGTTCTGAGCTCCGAGACGCCGCTCGCAGGGTGGTCCCGCGCGTTTCGCGTGGGACATCCTCAAAATTATGATCTCCGAGATGCCGCGCGCGAGGTGGTCCAGCCCGTTTCGCTTGAGACATCCTCACAAGTCTGGGCTTCGACGCCGAGCGAGAGGTGGTCCCGCAATATCCTCGCAACTGAGAGCTCCAAGATGCCGCGCGAGAGGTGGTCCGGCCCGATTCGCCTGAGACATCTTCCCACATTTGCACTCCGAGTCTGTTTCGCCTAGGACATCCGCACAACTCTGAGCTCCGAGATGCTGCGCGCGAGGTGGTCGGGCGCGTTCCGCCTGAGACACCCTCGCGACTCTGGTCTCCGAGATGCCGCGCGCGAGGTGGTCCAGCGCGTTTCGCTTGAGACTTCCTCGCAACTCCTGAGCTCCGAGATGACGCGCGAAAGGTGGTCCAGCGCGTTTCGCTTGAGACATCCTCGCATCTCTGGGCTCCAAGACGCCCCGCGTGAGGTGGTCTGGCGCGTTTCGCGTGAGACATCCTCGCCACTCTGGGCTCCGAGATGCTGCGCGAGAGATGATCTGGCCCGATTCGCCTGAGACACCCTCGCGACTCTGGGCTCCGAAATGCCGCGCGAGGTGGTCCAGCGCGCTTCGCTTCAGATATCCTCGTAACTCTGAGCTCCGAGCTGCGGCGCGCGAGGTGGTCTGGCGCGTTTCGCCTGAGACATCCTCACATCTCTGGGCTCCAAAGCACCCCGCGCGAGGTGGTCTGGCGCGTTTCGCGTAAGACATCCTCGCGACTCTGGGTTCCGAGATGCTGCGCGCGAGATGTTCTGGCCCGATTCGCTTGAGACTTCCTCGCAACTCTCGGCTTCGAGATGCCGCGCGAGAGGTGGTCTGGCCCGTTTCGCCTAAGACATCTTCACAACCCTGGGCTCTGAGAAGATGTGCGAGTGGTGATGGACGCGTTTCACCTGAGACATCTTCGCAACGCTGGGCTCCGAGATGCTGCGCGCGAGGTGGTCCGAGCCCGTTTCGCTTGAGACAGCCTGGCAACTCTCGGCTCCGAGAGGGAGGAGGGAGGAGGGGTCAGACCCAAACGAACCAGTTGTTTGCACTTTGTTCCCAACCATCCTTTGGTGTTGGGCCCTCGTTTTGAATGGACGGCGCCCCGCCTCCTTCCTCCCTCCTCCTCCCTCTTCCCCCTCCTTCCTCCTTGCGTTTCGCCCACACAGTACATCGTTTCGTGGCCCCATAGGGAGCTCCACTTAAGGCCCCAGTGGGGGTGGCCACATGCGTCCAGGAAGCCCAATGTGGCACACCCCTCACACGTTTCGTGGCCCCATAGGGAGCTCCACCGAAGGCCCCAGTGGCACCGTCCGCATGCGTCCCGAAAGCCCAGTTGGGCATTTTCACCCACCCAGTACAGCGTTTCGTGGCCCCATAGGGAGCTCCACCGAAGGCCCCGGTGCCACCGTCCACATTCGTCCCGACAACCTAATTTGGCGATTTAGAATTTTCAGCCACCCAGTACAACCTTTCGTGGCCCCATAGGGAGCTCCACCTAAGCCCCCACTGCCACCGTCCGCATGCGTCCCGAAAACTCAATTTGGCATTTTCACCCACCCAGTACAGCGTTCCGTGGCCCCATAGGGAGGCTCCACCGAAGCCCCCAGTGCCACCGTCCACATGCATCCCGAAAGCCCAATTTGGCATTTTCACCCACCCAGGACAGCGTTTCGTGGCCCCGTAGGGAGCTCCACC